AGACAGACGCCATGAGCACAATAGAAACAGCAGGACAACAGAGTGAAGCTATTGTGTGTCGATGTGTGTGTGCATGAAAGAGGAAGAGAAATTCTGTGTTTCATGTGTATACAAAGACACACACACGCACACACAGACAGACCACACACAATGTACTGGCCTACATGTGTGTAATGACGTGAACATGTCACACACATACACAAATAACCTATCACTGGGTCAGCACAGAAGGAGGGCTACCATTGACGAAAAAAATCATATTTAATAAAGATCTCATGTTACACAAAGTGGGTTAATTTAAAAAAAATGCTGTTTTTGTCAACGTGCAACAACAACAACCAACATAATACAATGAGAGTATAGACAATAAATATGAGAAAAAATAACAATTAAACCCAAAAAGTATATACCGCGCATTAAAACACTTCTGCGAAAATCCTACAGTATAATGATCCGTACATCATTAATGATTGTTGAAACTGTCAAACTCACAACCATTGAATGTCTGCTTCAGAGTTTTACTATAAGTCTTTTTAATTGAGTTAGTTTTTTTATGCTATAGTTAAATGTTGACTCTGGTGGGACTCGAACCCACAGCCTTTGAATACCTTCTCCTGGGCATATCTAGAAGTCCAATGCGCTATCCATTGCGCCACAGAGCCATGTTTCGGTCACAAACATGACGTTTTTTGTTGGCAGATTCTCTAGAATTTGTGTTATATGCTTCTGACAGAAAAACTACTACATCAGTTTTATGAAACTATATTTTTGTGGGGCAATGGACTTGAATGGAGGTTCAATTCCCAGCAGATTCTACCTTTGAATGTTCAAATGTTTGCCGACTACATAATCACATAAACCATGGACATTTTGGTTGGTTCATGTATTTTGATTTTGAACACTTTTATAAACCTTTAAATGTCGACTCTGGTGGGACTCGAACCCACAGCCTTTGAATACCTTCTCCTGGGCATATCTAGAAGTCCAATGCGCGGTCCAAACAAACAGAACCTAATGGAAGTTTATTTTTTGCATATTTAGAAATAATCTCCTACTTCTCACTGCCACCTCACTTAGTGACCAACTCCTTAAGAGAGACACAAATAAAGTTGTACTTTCACAGAGATCGACACAAATCCTAGACTTTCTATACAGAATATAGTATTCCTTTGTGTCCGTTACATAAAGCAGAATATTAGATTGTTTAAGCTCGATGTAAACAGCCGGGGAGGCGATGCTGAGGGCGAAAAAACCCAGGAGGCCTCTGCCTTCAGTGAGCTCATATAAACATGAACCCCAATACAGACAGGAAAGAATGTAAACACACACACACACACACACACACACACACGCACGCACGCACGCACACACACACACACACACACACACACACACACACACACACACACACACACACACACAAGGCATGTCCCAGATAGGATATTCACGGCCTTCAGACCTACAGTACAGGATCATTAAGGCACAAGTATGACTAACATTGTTCAGATTTGGTCTCTAAATACTGTCATCAATCTCTATTTTGTTTTTCCTTTGCATGTGTTTTAGCTTAAACATAATATATAACGGAGCATGACGATACCTGTTGCTGTCCGTGGTTACACTCACTGCTCCTGTTAAGCTCCTATTAACTTCATTCATTAGAATTTCATTTACTTCAGGCGGGGTTTTGACTCGGACACAATTTCTTAGTTTTACCTGCAGTCATTTAGAGGTAAGAACCCCCTTTTCCATACTAACAATTCTAGAAACTAAATGTTAAAGCCCTACCTAGATTCCCTTGCGCCTTAAAGCAAGTTTTCAAAGTTTTGCATCACCAAAATATTACGTCCTTTTAAGTGTGCTCGGTCTATTCCACCAAGTAATCTGAAGCACTTCACAACATCTCAAATACTCGCAGCTTAAAGTAACTTCTCCCTGCTTATCCCTGATCTCTGTGACTGGGAATTGAACCCAAAGTCTCATAATTGGGGGATGAGACTATAGATTTAACTTCAAGTCACTGTGAAGTTAAACATCGTTGTGTGGATTAGAGGTTTGAACCCTGAGATTCAGCATTTTTACTGAAGACATCTTGTTTTTTTTGTCATTGCCATGTTGTGTTTTGGAAGAGGATCCCCTCAGATGCTGGGTCTCTGAACTAATGCCCCAAAACGTGAGTTCCCTGACCGGGAATCGAACCCGGGCCGCGGCGGTGAGAGCGCCGAATCCTAACCACTAGACCATCAGGGACTAATGAGCACTTATGTAGACAAGAAAACTGATCCTAGTGGGTTGTTCTTTGGTAAATTGGATCGGGCATTGGTAAGTGATGGGAAGTGATGGTAGAGGGTGCAGTATCTGTGAGAAGCCTACTGTCATCCATTATGGTTTACATCTGAAAAAAGCACAGTTTAAAATGATCCCAATAATGTAATTGTAGACTCATGTTTGTAAGTTTTACGGTACCAAGGATGTTGAGGTACTTTAAAAAGTCGTTTAG